GGCAGGGAGTTTGGTTTGGTTGGTCACTGTGGGCAAGACACGACCTTTTGAGTCTGCGTTATTAATACATTCTCCCGTAGTTCTTTAATCCGAGACAACAGGACTGCAAAGGCAGCCTTGCTTTGTAGTGGTGTCAGTACTCCCGCTGTGGTTGATTGCGCGTCACCAGCGTGACATCGCTGAGCATGGACTTGGGAAGAGAGGCCCAGCCACGCGCCGTCAGTCATGGAGCATTACCACCATTCAGGTGGGATAGCTGGAGAAAATCTTAAGAGGCCCAAGCCCCAAACCACACTCACTACCATTGAGTCGATGCCAACTCATAGCCACTCTGTAGCGCAGGGTAGAACTGCCCCTGTGGGTTTCTGAGACTGCAACTCCTGATGGTAGTGGGAAGCCCCATCTTCGTCCCGCGGAGTGACTGTGGTTTCGGACTTCGGGCCTTGAAATCAGCAGCCCCTCACAGAACCACTATGCCACGCCACACAGAGACTAGTAAAAGTCAGCAAAAATGTGGAAGCGATAGATTGGAGTACACTTGCCTTCATCTCAATATAATTTATTTAGTGTCAGCCTATATAATTTAATTTTTTAAAGTGGCTGTGCTTGGCAACCAGTTTGAAGCCTTTCTAAAGTTTCAGTGACTTCCTGATGTGTTAGATCCAGCAGACTAAAAGCTTGGGGCCTTGTGTTATTAACCGCTTTTACAGATGAAGAAAGTGTCCTGGCAGCTGAAGGGTCACTTGAAAGCCCAGGGGACAGGGCCTCGGGGAGAAGAAGCGATTCCCTTTCCCTGACTCCCCATCTACGGCCATCTCTGCACCCCGCCCCCAAACAGAGCAAAACCCATACTCACAGCCCAAGTGACTGCTACCGCGCCACCCCTTCTCACCGGCACCCTTCTTCTCTCGTAGATGCCAAGGGCAGAAACTCCCCGAGGTCCAACCTGAAGTTCCGCTTCGATAAGCTCAGCCACGCCAGCCCCAGCTCGGTAAGGACGTGGGGGAGGGGGAGGACAGGGGACATCACCTCCGTGTCCCACAATCCCCCACACCCTCTGCTGTCCCGGCTATTCTAAATGCCAGCCACCCTCAAGACGGAGGAGAACTGCACCCTAGGGTTTCCAAGACTGAATCTACGAGAGCACACAGCTTCATTTTTCTCCTGCAGAGTGCTTGGGGGGTTTGAACCAGGGTCCTTGTGGTTGGCAGCCCAGTGCTTGTACCAGAGAGTTCCCCTCTCCTAGGGTTCCTTATCCCACATCCCACCTGCTTTCAAAAGCCAGTCTTTCCTCCCGGGAGTAGGATGCAGAGGAGACGGCCCATGGGCAGGTGAAGGGGAAAACAGATGAAGGTGTGCTCTAGTTAGTTCTGGGATAATGCGATCTCTTCCCATCCAGTATCTATTTCCCTATCATCATATAAAAATATATTTATATATGTACATGCCTGTTTTTAGATCTTTATAAATGTCCTTTGCCTCCTAGTCCTTTCC